ACATTTCATACCTAGTTGCCTTGGTGCAGACAGAATGTAATCCCTGCAGTGCGTACGCACAGGCAAGCATGCAAGAAATTTGGCACTAGGCAAGAAATGCCCGAGCTTGCATGCGCTTGTTCAGCATTTCCCTATAAATGTTCACGCAAGCATGAACACATCCAGTGCATCATAGTGCGATGATCTCACCCTAAATACAGAATTGCAGCAGAGGTACAGTATGTGCATTTTGTATTGTGTTTCTGGTCAATTCTGTTCCCACAGTTCTGACAGGTTAAAGATTACAGACAGCTAAGTGCGGTGCAAGTGCGGTGATGTTGCTATTCATTGACAGGTGTGTAATTAACCCATTGTGTTCCATATGGGCATTGTGTGGTGTGTGTGGTGGGAGGGGTGGGGGGTTTCTATAAGTTCACCAATCTTGTATATCAGCTGTGAATTGTTATATTATCGGTTTTGCTTTGTAGATTTTAATTACAGTTGAAAAATTGATTAACAACAAACCATTAGAGTTGCTTTTATACATCATCAGGTCAGAAAATAGTGTTCTGTAGTTTTCCTTCTGCTAATGCACTAACACTTTTTATATCTTTTTTTAATTACTTGTACCATCTTTGTGTTAAAGTGTTGCTAACGTCTCTCAAGCAGGCTTGTAAATTCCAAAACTAAAGGTTCTATTTAACCAATACATGTAAAAGTAATGTTGTAAAGTATCGTAGTCATGGGATTGTGACCATGTCAGCATTGTTAATGTTAGCCGTTAACATATCAATAAACACCAGATATGCAATCGTAATTTCTCCATAAGGAAGATGTTTGAGTAAAAGGTACAGTGTAAAAGAGGAAAGTAAAAAGAGTCACAAAGGGACTTCAAATGAAACATACCCAGGTTTTCTGAGAGTTTCTATGCTAAAGGATAAGAGAAGACGAAAATTTTATTATCTTCCAACATTAAAAAAAAAAATTTGTTTTAAATTAGTTGAAAAAACAACGAATGGAACGGTATGTAACAAAAAGGGAGAAAACAGGGGGAAAATAAATACTTCATCCCAAGTCATTTATACAATATACAATTAAGGCAACACAGGATGCATTAATGGCCATAAACCATAAAAATATTTATAGGAAGCTAAAAAAAGTATAGTCACATACACATACATGTTAAATACAACATTGCAAAGTTCCATACCTTACGTCCCTAAATCAAGAAAACCAAAAACATGAATTTAACCCCTTAAGGACCAAACTTCTGGAATAAAAGGGAATCATGACATGTCACACATGTCGTGTCCTTAAGGGGTTAAACCAGGTAGGGGCATATATAAACAAAAAGAAAAAACACAAAAACAGGGGGGAAATATTCCCAATAAAATTTTTAAAAAAATAAAGTATTTACAGAAAAATTAAGGTCATGAGGGCTGGAGGGCTAAAAAGGTTTCCACTCCCCTAAAAATGTTAAAGCCTATAAGAATGGAGGGTGAGTCCATAAAGAATTTTAAATCATATGCAGAACTGGGCAATAACACACGTCTTGAAAAAAAGAACAAAACACAATATTACAGCACTCAAGCTAAAAGAAAAACATAATATATATATATAATCAATTTCTAATAATATAACTGGACTCAAGTGCAGTGGTCAAAGAAAGCAAAAAAAATCTGTCCTCCTAAAAGAGCAGAATATTTAAAAAAAGAAAAAGGAAAACAAAAGAATGTTTTAACTGCAAAACAAATAAAGAAATAAACCATTATGCATATAATAGTCTGAAAATCTAATTTTAATCAGATTAACAGAGAAATATTACACAATATAGTCCATAGAAATCTGCGTTATCCAATACACTAATTTTTCTTACAACAGTATGGAACAGTTCTGTTGAGATGAATATCGTTTGATTGTGTGGTCCCCTCTGTTCTCACCATACCAGTGATATAGCAAGTTTTCATCATCTAGCGAATGCCCTCTCTTCATTCGTTTTTATACCAAATGTGAAACAACATAGGGATGTGCTAGAGAGAAAAATAGTATAGCATGCAATCTTGTACATTATTCGTGAACGCCAACCAAATACCATAAACTAGTGAACAAAAAGTTGAACCTTGTACTCCTAAAGATACTTCTTCTACTTGAGACAAGAAGGGAGATCCACAGTCATAGAACTGAAAAGAATTAATTGTTTGGTCTAACCTCCAAACTACATAAATCAAGAAAGGCTCAAATTATGTAAAACACCTTGGGTGATGAAAAAATACTTTACTTTTGGCATAAATACCAAAACAATCAGACGAAGATCCAAGCAAGAATAAAAACGTGCTAAACTGAGCACGTAAAGAGTTATGACTCTGCAATCAGAGGTACCACTGTTTGTTGAGTTTCCAAGGAAGGTAACTTTGAAGTACCCTAGATACAAGCACCCACAGCTGATTCCATCTGCTATCTGATTATTAAGTAGTATTCATCAGCAGAATTAGTGTGAGAAATCTGAAAAGAAGAAAAAAACGAAAATAGTTACTATTAGAGCCAGGGCCAGGCCAAGATATTGTGCTGCCTGGGTCTAAAGATTCAATGCTGCCCCCTCACCCCGCACCAAAAGCACGCCAACATTCATTATGTTATGCAGTGTGTGTAGTGAATGCAATGTCTGTTTGTGTAGTGGATGCAGTGTGTAGTGAATGCATTGTGTGTGTGTGTGTGTGTGTCTGTTTTGTGGATGCAGTGTCTCTGTGTCATGGATGCTGCGTCTGTGTGTCATGGATACGTCATCTGTTATTGTCTTGTGGATGTAGTGTGTATTGTATGCTGTGTGTGTATAGTGGAGGCAGTGTGTGTAGTGGATGCAGTGTGTCTAGCGGATGTAGTGCATGTAGTAGTGTCTGTGTCATAGGGTGAGCAGTTTAAATTAAAATGGGCTTATCCTCCCTCCCTGCCTCTTACCTGTGGGCTGGAAGGGCCGGAGAGTGTGTAGGAAGGTGACAGTATGGAGGCAACATGATGAGCATACTGATCAGGTAGTAGGTGAGATTCCCAATGATGTTGTTATGAAACGGGTGAAAGATACTTTAAGAAATTACCAGTTTAGTTGTTTTCAACACAAATATGGGTTCTATAGTTACAATGGAGAACAAAGCAATATATTTAATTATATAGAATGTTGAGTTTAATGAGATGAATTTGTAAGATGATATATACACTACACCACCAAAGTCTTTGACTGACAATATATTTTGTGCAGTCCATTTTGTTATGGGAAGATATAAACAGGCTTTAGTTTTCAATAGTTTTTCAGTATGTATGTCAAAGGAGTGATTGCAATATAACCACGCTGAGATAATAATAGGGGAGAGCAAAAAAAACAGGATGCAAGAGAATTCTGAGAACGGACAACAGTTCTAAAGACTTGCTCTTTGGTGGGTCCCCGATCAGTTCTTAAGCCGGTGTTAGCTCATCTTGTGCCATTACAAAGAGAAACGTTGGCTATTTGCATATCAGAAAGATCTCACCCAAAAGCACAGTCCAGATCTGAAATTCAGACAGGCTCTCCCTGCATTAGAGATGCAGCTACCCCAGATGATCATTTTGGCCTTATTAGGCCTCGGCAATGAGTTGAAGCCAGTGCCCCTCTAGGCTCCGTGAGTGAACATTTCACGTCTGTAATACCCTTTAAACTTGGGGAGAGCAAAAAAAACAGCTTGCCATTTGTCAGAGTTCTCATATTCTCTGTTTTTGTTGAGCTACTAATAGGAATTTAGTGTAATTTAAATGAACACTCCAAGCACCATAACTACTGTAGCCTATTGTGTGCCCTGGCTCCTTTCCACGGTAATTAGTGAAACCATTTGCAAACAGTTGACCACTTACCTTGGGTCCACTGGGAGCTGGTCATATCCTCTGCTGCTGGTAGGCTGAAGAGGCTTCAACTGGCAGCTGGTGAACCCCACTTTCTTAAATGGTTTACTACTTACACTGGGAGAGCACCAGGATCACTACAACAGGTGGCGGTGGTTATGGAGTGTTTCTTTAATTAGGAATTGGTTTGAGCAATGTGGGGATTGTTTCAAACACTGTTGCGAATCTTTTAACCTTTTGAGAGATCTTCATGTAGCACAGGCCTAGGTTGCGACACCTTTGACTAACAGATTATGGCATCATCAACATTTATAATCACTTTTGAAGAAGTGTGAAGATCATTTATAAATATGTAGCATAAAGAAGGGCAAAAAATAAGCCTTGGTTAATTTGGATTTCACAACTGTTGGTACTTTACACAAATCGTGCTCTGTCAAATAAGTATGTTTGTAACCAGTATCATGGCTGATGACCTATACTAAAGTTGTTCTACTTTTATTCAGTTTGATATTCTAGTTTCCGGAATCAAAGGCCTTTAGAAAGTCTAGAACAATGGCTTAAATCACCTTGCCTAGTGTCAATTTGGACATTGTACTAATTTAAAATGTCAGTGATTTGAATAAATAGAGCCAGACAGTTGGTAATATCTGAACAATTATCTCAGGGGCACATTGTTTTTAATTTTTTTTTGACAATAAAGGCTCTGAATGGGATTACATTTTTCCGTTAAGAAAATGAGCAGTGATATGAATGAGAAGCAATGTCTTAGACTTCTATCCCGTGTTCCTGTTACTGCTGGGGTGAAATTTGGTCCTTTTTAATATCTTCATTTTTTTTAGTTTAATAATCAGCAAATCTGTGCATCCAACAAAATAATTATTGAATGAATTTGCTTAATCTAAGGAGTCTTTTACAGATCTGGCATGTTAATAAAACCCATAGGTGTCATTAAGGGGGGCTTTAGGGGCTGAAGCCCTGGATGTGGGACTCTTTAGCCTTGTCTCCCTACAGGTAGTTGCAGGAGCAGGAGGATTCTCAGAGCAACCATGTCATACAAAATTAAATACACTATTAGTATATTGCTCTGCAAGACTACCGCTGTGGTGGAACCCCCAGGTGACTGTTGGGTGGGTGTGCTGGGGAACAGAACTTTGCTTTAGACTTCATTAGTTAGCATGGGTGGATTGTACCGAATACATGGCTGTGAAGCACGTGCTTGTTTCAAGCAACGCTTCCATTGAGATCCCACCTTGTTCATGGGTGAAGAGTAGGAGATATAATATAGAGAGGTCGGGATGTGTCATGACATCCCCACCTCTCCGTTAATGTAGGGATCATTGAGTTATGCTTTGGGCTCAAGCCTCTGTTTTTTCTGAAACCTAGCAACATCCTTGTTAATACCTCCAAGATGCTGTCTCCCCTCCAAGGGGAAAAGTTAAATCAGAATCAGAGATAGTGAAGCACTCCTATAAACAAAATTAAATGAAGTTAGAGCTTTTATGCCATGTAAATAGTTAAAGGTATAAAAATAGAGGATAAATGTTCTGTATATTGCGTGAGACAGAAATATGTACTGAGCATTCAGTGTCTGGTGAGAATGTGATCAGGGATTATAGGATTTAGATTTGCAAGAAGGAAAAGAAGATTGATGCTGGCTGACTTTTTACAACAGGCTTCTGGAAAGCCTTGAGATCACTGTAAAGGGTAATCCAATTTAAAGAAAATGTTCATTGGGTTTTATAACATGGGCAAATAAAAAGTATGTATTTTTTGCACTTTTATCTTAAAAAAAAAAATAAAACTACTTTTCTACCTAAAGATTGCATTTGTTTTCTATTTATTTTACGTAAAATAATCAGTTATAGAATAAAAAACAGGAGATGTGTAAAATCAGACTTGTGACACTATATTTTCATTGCAGCATGTCGTTAAAATTTTTTTTACCAGCAAGGAATTTAAAGGGACCCTTAACCATAAAAGCCATTACATCTTAGTAAAGTGGATTTGGTGCACAGACCCTGTCCCTTTTGTATGGCGATGTAAAATGTTGCTACTACATATTGCCGTAATAATGCTTCTAGTGACAGTAACTAAAAGCACTTCTTGATTAAAGACTTTCAGTTAGTGATGATGAACCCAAATGCTGTGAATGCATTACATGTGACTTTATAACTTCTTTTTGTTTTTTTATTATGAATGAGGGGTTGATAATCTAAATATTCCAACTATAACTATATTTTTATGTCATTGTGTTCCTTTAATGGTTATTTTCTCTCAGCTCTGCACATAAATGTTAACTAGGACTTCAAGGTCTTTGAGTTACATACCTTTTTCTCTCAGTTTTGTGATAGGTTGAGAGAGTCAGCTGACGCACCCAGGACCTACTCTAGCCATAACTAAAAACTTCAATTAAATGAAGTAGTTATGGTGGCTGGTGTGTTCCTTTAATCTTTCTCTAGAGAAAAAGAAAAGACATGTCAGCTCCATCCCGATTGTTAGAAGGCTGGAAGACACTTGCACTTAAGCACTATCTGAGCAAAAAATAGTTAATTTTGTCTGAAGAAATGCCACAAGTATGTCCTCAAACGTCAAAGTTCTAGTGTCTACTTCCTGCTGCAGACAGACCAGATTTGTGTTTTCATATACATTTTTTTTTCAAAAATAAAATGATTTAATTTAAGACCCTTGTTTTGTTTCACTTATCCCTAGCCGCACAATAAACAATGAGAAATAAAACAGTGAAAATATCTCTGCAGAGCTGCTACCCACCCTGACACCAATCTCTCAACCCACAATTCTGACATTATTAGGAATAGCATCTCATATCTTCCCTCCTCCCCCCTGCAACTCTACTTCAACTCTAAATGTAATGCTAGCCTGAACTCCTACTCCCCCCCTTTACTGAAAGGAGGTTTGTTCAGTTCTAGTCCCTCACCCCACTACCTGCTCTGTTGATCCCATTGCTTCCCACCTCATTCAATCTTAATCATTTTGTCATGCTCCTTCTCTAAGCCATATGTTAAATCTCTCTCGATCTTCAGGTGTCTTCCCGACTCCACTGAAACATGCAATTATCTGTCCTATCCTCAAGAAGCCTTCTCTTGATTCTGTTTTACCCTCCAATTTCCAACCCATCTTCCATTCACCTTGTGTACACCTGTCTTACAAACGTTTTCAGGTCCATTTCCCCTTGACCTTCTTAATTCTGGTTTCTGAAACAACCCTACTGAAACAACCCTTACTAAAGTGATCAGTAATTTGCACACTGTTAAATCAAAAGGTCACAATTATCTCTTAGTTCTTCTCAACCGCTCTCCTGCCTTTGACAGTGTTCATCACTCGGTCCTTCTTCTAACCCCCTCAACCTTGGTATTTGTGGGTCTCTCCTTCCCTGGTTCTATTCCTATCTCTCTAAATACTCATTTAGCATATCATTTGCTGGCACCACCTCCTGCCCACTACCCATTTCCGACGGTGTCTCCCAAAGCCTGATTCTTGGCCCCTTTTATTTTCTCTTTATACTGTGTCTCTTGGTAACCTTATTAGCTTCTTTGGAATTCAGTATTAAAATGTATACTGACTACATTCAGGTCTACCTCTCCTTGCCAAATCCTTCTCATAACCTACTGGAATGTGTCACCAACCGCGTTTTAACTATCTCTCACTGAATGTCTTCTCATTTTCTACAAGTTCATCTTTCCAAAACTGAGCTTCTTATCTTTTAACCTTCAAATACCCTTCCTTCTTTGTATATTTCCCTTCAGATCAATGGAACACCTATTAACCCAACCCCACTAGCTTGCTGGTTTGGTATCACTTTTGACTCTGGACTCACCTTTACCTCTCAAATCCAAACTGTATCCAAATCATGTTACTTCCATCTCAAAAACATTGCATATTCCCCCCTATCTAATACAAGATGCTACTAAGGCACTTGTTCATGCACTCATCATTAATCTAAGGCAACTAAAATATAACATAAAACACAGGGATATTATTAATTAGCGGGTAATAGCTTCTTGATCCAAGGAAATATCTTACTGCCATTCTGGGGTCAATAAGTAATTTTCCCCCTAGTTTGCACAATTGGATGTGCTTCAAACTTGGTTCCTTTGCCTTCTTTTGGATCAACAGCAAAAACAAACACGAGAAATGCTGAACTTCATGGACGCATGTCTCTTTTCAGCTATGTAACTATGTAATTATCTGTATCTGTGAAGCACCACTTCAATCTGTTATACATTATGCTGCCAGCCTTTCTACCTCAATAACCTATCCTCTCACACCTTACACCTTTGCCAGTCTTTATATTGGCTTGCCATATCTTTTAGGATCCAATTCAAGCTACTGCCATTAACAAATTAAATACTTTTTTTTTTTTTTTTTTTTTAAAGCCAACTAGCACAATCTAAAGAAATATATCTTTTTGGAAAAAATAATCTTTGTTAGAAGTGCAGAAGTTCTATAATAAAAAATATAAATAAATAAATGCTATCTGTCGGGAGAACAATAACTTATATCAAAAGTAAATATTTGAACAATTTTTTATTGTCTGAAGAACACTACCAAATCCAGATTCTTTAGTGCCTGGAAATATTTCAGAATATTGAATGGAAATATAGCAATTATGTTGACCACAATAATTTTCCACCCTTCATGTCAATGAAATGTGAACCAGCTGTATGTTAATAAAGATATCATACTGCAACATTCCTGTTGTAGAGTAAAGTATCATGTATTAAGGATGTGAATGGGCAAAAAATTCAGTTCAGTTCGGAAATTCGGGTAAGTAAAAAAATTTGTCTGCTTCGCCAATTCGGACCAATGGCATTCGGTTCGGTTCGGCACTTTGGAACTTCGTTAATTCGGACCCTAACCCTAAACCCTAACCCTAACCACTTGTTTTGCCACTTTTCAAAAACCTGAAACGCTTCGGAACTTCATCAATTCGGTTTGGCACTTCAGAAATTCAGCAATTCTGCAATTCGAACTTCGGACATTCATAAGCATCTGAATGTCCGAATTGCATGAAATTCGTCCGAATGTGCATTCGTAACGAAACGATTTGCACATGCATATCACGTATATCTAGTTATTTGTCTAGTCACAACTAGGGCTTAGAATAGTATGTATATACAGCTTTGCTCAACAAAGAAAATACAATCTAATACACAATGCAAATTTACTGAAGTTATAAAACTGTGAAACACATAAGTCTGAAAATTTTCTAAAAATGAATGTCAATGAATGTATATGGCAATCTAACACATATGAATATATATAAATTGCCCATATATGTTCAACCACTCATTTGTTAAAGATACACTCAAATATAAAATACATACATTTATTTATAATGTTTAGTTACCCATTTAGAATACAGACCCAGTTCATTAGTTAAAGGGATACTATAGGCACCCAGACCACCTTGGCTAATTGAAGTGGTCTGGTTGCAGTGTCCCTTTTGCACTTAAAGCTGCAATGTGATACATTGCAGTTCCAGAGAAACTGCAATGTTTACATTGCAGCACTAAGTCTGCTTCCAGTGTACTATACAGCCACCGGAGGCGCTACCTGGATCGAAACGTACCTTTGGGAGGAAATCTAGCTTCAGATTTTTCAACATAGGAAAGCAGTGATTACATTCTTTCCTATGGGGATGTCTAATGTGCATGCAGCATTTGCCGCGCATGCGTATTAGCAGCCGCTCGTCATAGGACATCGGAGGGGGCAGAGAATCAACCCAGCGCCTAAGGGACATCGGTGATGTATTCAGGTAAGTAAATAAAGGTTTTTTAACCCTTTATTTGACACGGGGGTGGGGGGAGGTGAAGGAGGTGGGAGGCAGGGGGAGCGATTGTGTCAGGAATACTGCTTTGCATTTCTGGCGCTATAATATTTCTTTAAATCACAGCTGTACTTAGTTTTAACCCAGCGGTGGGAGGTTCACTTACTGCAGCTCTGCTCAATCTTCTGGCCAATCCAATCCTTCTCATAGAGAAGCATTGAGAGATAGGGTGTATGGGTGGCAATCATTGTGCTGTCCTGGCAATACTTCTCATAGAGAGGAACTGAAACCAATGCTTCTTTATGAGAAGCCTCACTTCTACTTTGTGCGACGTCTCATAGCAAGTGAAGAAGAGCACTCTCCCAGCTATCTGATTAACAAAGCTAAAGTGCTTTAGGGGTTTGGAATGTTCCATTAAACTCAAATTACAATAAATGATCGAAAACATATGTTGTTATTTACATTTTGATCAATATTTTTAAAAGGATTAAACCAGCTAATCTATACACAACATAACATTCTGGAAGTAATTGCATGTAGGTTCCCAAACATTAAAGTATGTCTAAAAT